ACCTGAAGGGGATCGCAGAGTGAGCACAGAGCTCGATTCTAGCAGGCGGGTCTCTTATAAGCAGCAGCTATCGATCGAGAGAGTCTCTAATGCTCGGGCAAGTGCTGACTGTTGACCGATTTATAGCAATGTGCGTACATTAAAGCATGCCCCTCTGAAGGAGAATCGTAGGCTCCAAATGGAAGCCGATGTACTGGAGTAAACTGTTTGGTTAGGCATGGGCTTGTCGACTGGACAGGAGTGACACTCCGCATTAGCATGTGAGTTGGAACTACAAGATAATCGTCTAGCAATGCATGTTGGGAATGGGCCAAGAATCGGGGGGTTGAAAACTGGGGGGAACTGGGGGGGGGGTGAACGGGACCATAAGGAGAAAAAGCTTAAGCTGCTGCATCCTGCTCGATGCAGCAGCTAGGACACTGTTAATTATCGTCTGCGGTGATCAGAGCATCAGGAATTTGTTTGAAGAGATCCATTGTATTGCGTGGGCAGGATACTGTCAGATTGCTCACGCCTAGACAGGAGAACGATTAGGGTTCTCAACCAAAGCCTTTGGTTCCAAAACCTGACCGCAAGGCAGCGGGTTTGGCGTTGGACTACAAGGAGTCCGTTTTAAGGAATAAGGTGCCACTCTCATTCCAACCCCCAACCTGGAGGACCAGGAGGCTGAGTTTGTCTGGCCTCTAACCATTGATCAATCTGGTATGAGTAGCTGTGAAGGTGCAAAAGCACCACCTAGCATAGTTCAATGGATCACTGAGGCACACAGACCATCGCACCACGGTAAAGTCCAGCTTCATTGCGATCGAGCTCATAAGTAGAGTGTACGGTGTCCTGCTGTACGACTGAAAGACTTGGTCTCTTCACGCGGAATATTGGAGGTAGCTGTCAGTCTTCGATAACCGATGTTTGCAAATGATTGCTCGTTTATGGTGGCAGTACTGTGAAAGTAATGCGGAAATACGAAGCAGAGTAATCAGGATGAACAGTCACTGCCTCCATGACATTATTCTTAAACACTGTTTATGTTGGCCCGGTCACGCACTGCGCATGTCAGCCCATTTCCTTTCTCGTCTTCTACTATGTGCACCTGAACGTAGATGGTAAGAGTGCTACGCCGGGCAGCCGAGGACATGGAAGATCAACATGAAGTATCTTATTTTTTATCTAGCCTCAGTTGGATCTGTCCATCTCCCAGGTTGGAAATCACGCGGTGCTGACTCCCAGTGGTTGTGGATCACAATGCTGTTTTGCCATTTTTCATATAATCTTCGATCTTAAACGAAACAAGAACCTAGCACATCAAAGAAGTTCCTATCCCTATTTGATACCATTTTCGTTACTTAGTTGGACGAAATTTCCCCCTCCATTTCCGCTGTTTCTGATGGCACATTTTTCTGTTTTTAAACTTGTCAATACATACTGGTATTATACGGTCGGTATACCCCGAGTCTCGAAGTCCTTCACCTTGGAGCGATTCAACACCCTCTAATTCGAATCCGGTGGACGCAACTTCCATAACTCGTCAATGGGAAGTTATGTAGAGTAGGTGACTGCGTACATCCTTTTCTCATACTGTGGGGGATATTGAATAGCGGTAGCAGCATGGTTTTATTTCTCTGACATACTTCCATTATTAAACAGTATATATATATATATATTGCTGAGCCTGATGTTGCAATCTTGATGCTTCTTCACCGCAGTTGGGCTAAACCAACTTACACTTAAACTAAGTCTTTCTAATTTGGTTAAATTTCATTCCACTTTATCTGGTTTGTTCTGCCTACCTGAATAATGTTCTATTAACTGGTCATGTTGCTTACACTAATTGCGTTTATCTTCGGTGATTTTGTTGCGTTTGTAGCATTTTTAAGTAACTTGTGGACATTTTTTCCTTATCGCGGATTCGTTGCTAACCAATTTACTGCATATGCTTATTTAGCGAAGAGTTATGCCACCATATCTGTATGCACTAGTGGATTTGTTTCATTTCATTTTGTCGTTCCAGGTGATTGGCTGTTGCTTGATCTCCCCGGTGTGGATGCGCTTGATGTGCATGTTGACAAAGTGCCTACCTGTCTATTACCCACTACCTCGTCCATCTGGCTCCAGGAGACAGTTGGTCGTTGCTGGAAGGGACGGTGCGCACGGTCCTTGTGGTCGTGCTAGGCTCGAAGAGCGGTTCCATGCACTCAGTGTGGAGCGGACTACGATCCAGCCACCGCCTTGTGTGCACTTGTTTCCCAAATACGTCGTGCTTGTGTTTGCCTGTGAAGGAGTGTGGGCTGGCTCCGTCGATGAAACGTGGCTCCCATCCGCATGCCTCCCGGTCTTATTCCTTCGGGTTTACACTGGCTATGGGGTGTGTGGATGGAGCTGTGGGTGGTGCAGCGCAAGCCACCCATGGTCCCTCTGTAGGCGCAGGCGTCCTGTGGCTGGCGACAGTGACAGGCAAATCCGAAACCGGATGCCGCCAACCATATATTGCAACAGTATATGAATAGGCATAGGGTTATCAGAAACCATGGAACACAAAAGAAGGTACAGAAATTGTAAAAGAAAACACAACACAACACATTAAAGTCCATGGTTTCGTCAGAGGGCCAGATACTACCCGGTTGCTCAAGCCGAAGTAGGGTGTTGACTTAGGGGACACAACTCCGAGCCTTTGGCTGAATAGCCTGCCCGCAAGGCAGCGGAGCGAATTCAGGGAATCGCGCCCCATTGGGAGCCGGTGACTGATTGCTCAGTTCATACGCCTTTCGTTTGTTCGTTTGTCAAACAGGGGCCCAACGCTCCCCAGAATTACAGCATAAAGTTGCTGGAATACAATGCTTCGCCGGGATGAAGCAAGGGGCAGTGACTTTATTTAGTGGTGAGTCACGTCCGCCATGTCACAGTGTTGTTAAACGAACATATGTGGCTTTTTATGGAGAGAACGCTTGCCATGCGAAACCCACCATGTCCTGGAACACTGCCGCCGAACCATTTGCTGGAACGGGAAAATCCCGGACCACCCAGCTGGTACCACGTGGAGGTTGTTCGGCAAGCCAGCCTTATTAAACAGTATTAAACGGCACATCTTTCTCTCTGATCAGAAGGACTTTAAACTCGAGGGGCACGACTCGGGAGGGTCGCCAGTAAACCTCGCATTGCTCTGATAACTTTGGTAAGGTGACGATATGCTCGATTTCAACGAAACATGCCTTTTCATGAAGTTGGCTTTGACGGATGCTATTTTACGAAGAGCGGTATAAGCAATTAGCTTAGAGGCGATGGAGATCAGGTTGGTACCTTTGTGATTGCCGCACTCCGAACGCAAGCCTTTTTGAAAGTAGGGACAATAGCGGAGCAACCCCAGTCGGTTGGGACAGTTTTCTGCTCCCACAGTTTTACTGATGAACTGTGTACATCATCTGCGGGAGCAGATCTCCAGAATCTGAACAGGGTCGGAGGAGTTCTATCTAGTCCTACTGCTTTGTACAGTTTCAACTATCCGACCTCGTGTTCGAATTCTGCGCGCGATAGTTCATCCAAAGACACGACGCAAGAAGCTTCGTGATCACTGGCTGCCTGGCTGATTTTGGTCGATTAAATTGGTTTTTAGGGTGTTTAGCCCAACACTGCCACTGTCCACTCTCGTCGTATATAATTTTGCTATCACCGAATCTTCTATTGTTGGTCCTGCGGGGCGGAATACTTTGTAGTGGTTACTGAGAACAACGGCCGTTTCCATTTCTGACTTTGGATAAGACTACCAAACTTCGCCTGACAGCCAAACGTCGGTGCGGCGTACCAGCTACATTTGGTACTTTCTTTTTTTCGCCAGAGATTACCAATTTGACAACAGTGAATGGTTGAGAAACGCGAATTATCGCACCACCTTGGAACTCGAACTCACCGTGATGGAAGAAATGTTTGCCAGGATTTTTACCCTCTTCGTAATAGTACCCTTAGAATGCTGCGTTCAGCCTTGTCTTCTCAGCTTGAATCACAAGGGGTTGCTGTATTACGAGCTTTGTGGGTTAAAATTAGAATGCTTTGTAGTTTGTGGCATCTCTTATACCTTGAAAATATGTTCTTTTTCATTACACTATTGGCGACTTCGTGGCTCTTAACTTTTGACATCGCATTTTTTCACCGGATTGACCCTACCTTTTGGCTCATTCATCTCGCTCAGCTGGCACTTCTTCGTGGTCACCTTATGCAGTTGCACAAGGTTCTAGCTAATGGGGTTTTCTACTGGTATTCGTCTGTCGCGTACGGTGACAGATTCATTGAACGCGTTGCCAGTGGACTTGACATTGTCACCAACGATAGAAGCGTATAAACATCGTATCGACTCTGATTGCTGCTTTGAGTCTCTTCTTTGCTTACTTTTTATTATCCTCCCGTTACGCTTCCGTCTTCTTGTTACTGCACTCGTCCTTCACTTTTGCTATTAGAGATATATAAATTCTACTGTTATCTGTTCTCATTGTACGTGAACGGCACAACGTCAACTTCTGGTACAGGGAAGGTAGACCAAGTAGACTACGGTGTGACTCGCACATGCTAATTTTGCTCAGCTTGGCGACAAATCAAACTTCCGGATTCTTTCCTGGATGAACTGCTTTTTCAATACAGTGCAGCCACGGGAATATTGTTCTTGTCCCTTTTCGAATTCGAACTGCACGTTGTGATCTTGTGTTTTCGGCTGTTCCGATGATCTAACGCATCAAAAGTTAAGAGCTCGATGAAGCTTCCTCAGCCGACTCTTTTTTTTCGCTTTACCTTCCTATTTAGTTCATGGCAATGTTAGACCTATTCTCTCCCCTGCTTGATCTCACTATAGCTTTCCCTCGCGAGGGGTCGATATTGCATCATCGACTCTTAGACGGCGGCCGTGTCAATGGCCTCCAGCTACTTAAGCCTGACATATTTCCATCTAGCTTTGTTTCTTACTAGTTGGTTGTACTAACGGTATCCAGTTGCCTACTAGTTACTTGGTTTGTATTCCAGCACTACAGGTCTATCGCGACCTGCTTTTCACATTGCGCTTGGAAAATCTCGGATTCTCGCACTGGACGCTTGCTACAGTTCTCTCGGGGTCTGCGTTTTGCTGTCTTTGTGATATGGCGGTTATGTCTGATGCATCTTCTTTTGTTGATGACTCAGACGTTTTCCACGCCTGTATGCGTGCTCGTTATGGATCATTCGACGACTTCAAAAGTGACTTTGAAAATTTTCAGCGACAAAGTTGCACTGCATTTTTCATTTACAATGCACAAAATGCTGCCCACTGTCGAAGGAACCGTAAGAAACGTCTACCCAGGGGTTTTCCATACTACTTCGCGAAATATTGCTGTGTCCATAGACGCCGTAAGGGCGACGCAGGACGGAGGTATGCTCCGTTTTTATAAATACTTTTCTTTGCCCTACTTTTCCATAGATATCGTAACTACGAGTGCAGGGCGTACGTGACAGTTCGTATTGTAAACGGGGCGTATGAAATTGTTGGTAGCTGTTTGGAGCACACACACTCCTTCCAGGTTGGAAAATCATGGTTGTATGTGCGCAACCGTCGACTGTCACCGGAGGAAGAAAAGGAAGTACATGGGCTAATGGAGTGTGTGAAAAGCACAATTGGAATCAGACACTTCGCTTTCGAACGTTTCCAAAAGCATTTGCACGCGGCCGATGTGCGCGCAATCCGTGCACGCTTCAAAAAGTCAGAGCAAAGACGAAACGTCGTGTCAAGTGCAATTTTAGCTTCAAAAAAAGCGCACAGTTCATCTGAACTCTCACCGAAACAAGAACTTGTGTGTCCTGTCTGCAATCGCGAGGAGGATGACTCGGATGACCTAGGCGTCTTCTGGCTGCAATGCCAATGTTGTGCTTCATGGTATCATCAAGGTTGCGTTGGATATATGAAGGAGGACTTTGTTTGCACCAAATGCACGCCACTAGTCCGATTAGTTTGAAAGCTTGCATGTTGTAACCTACACTTCGAAGGCCATTGTCTGGACAACCGGTTTTTGATTACGTTCCTATTCCTGTCGAGATCATTGTTTACGTCGACACAAGTGCAGCTGTTCGGAAATCAATTTTTGAGTCACATCGAATGGAGCTAAATGTTGACCTTGTGCTAACGTTGTATCCTCGTTGTGTGGTTTACCGAAGCATTCTCACATATATGAGCTGGCTTCACTTTTTGTAGTAGTGTCGCTGTCGTGATATGCTTCCTGCTGCACATTATATTCCACTCTACTACATCAGTTGTACAGATGAATGACATAATCCTCCCAACTCACGGCAAGTTATGCCGTCGCTGTCGTTTACTAAGTAGACTGGTCGACGACTGTCGTCTCTTTTGTCGGCGAAGTTAATTTCGGCAGCGGCCTGCAACATGCATTCATGGCGCAACTTCCAGCGTGTGGCTTCTTAATTAGCAACCAGAGGTGTGTATTAAACCACGAATCGATTTTATGTACATCTACCGCAAATTCTTCCTCGTTTGAAGTGGCTTTTGTAGTTGTACCAGTTTCTTTACTGCTGCTTCTGTTTTCTAGGTTCTACTCCGGTTGTAATTATGTAATTTCTAACATCAACTTTTTCATCTCGAGATTCTACTTCGCAATCGGTGCCTTTTGTAACTACTGCACGCCATTCGGCTGACACTGGCTTGCTGCGCTCATGCTTTATTAGTTAAGGTCATGTGTAGATGTTTCTTCTGTACGTCCTAAATTCTTGCATATTAAGGGCCACAGCACTGTAAGTACTTTTCTTTATGTTCGTTCTCAGCATGGTAGTAGCTTCCACTCTCTTTGGAGACTAAAAAGCAAAATGACAGCAGCGCACTGCAACGACGCTTTGCTGCCATGCGATCACTCACAGTCGCGCGTGGGCTAGGTATACGGCGATGTCGCCCGCGCCTGCGCGGATTCGAACCGGTGACGTTTTATCACAAGTCATACATCCACTCTTCGGTAACCGACGGACGAAGCCTACGATACAGTACACTGCAGTACAGTACAGTACAATGCCTAATGCAATACACCGAATCACAGTCTAACATCCATTGTTGTTGTCCCCGTTGCACACAGCTTGGCGGCTTAAGTCGCTGCAGACTATCATCAAACCCGCAAGGTTAAACTGAAAACATCCGGGTGGGCAGTTATTGTGGGAAACATTCTGCTAAGTTTACCAATTTTGCCGCAACTTTGCCACGCACTAAGCAGATCGCAAAAGTCGCTATGTACAGAATAGGGTAGATTTAATCAATGAGCAGTTTGGTGCTCAAAGGGCAATAGGAATGTGTGATCACTTGACGGGTTAACCCGTCCCTTCCAGTTGTCATGATTTCTAGCCCAACATGTGATACAGTGCGTAGATGCATGAGCGTCAGCAATACGGCGGTACACCGTACCGACGCGTCACCACCACGCTATCACCAACAGAGACACATTGGCTGGGTATACCGCGAGATGGTCCGCACTTTCGAGGATTCAAACTGGTGACCTACGGAGTACAAGACAGGTGTGTAATTCTTTGGTCCACCAGCCGGTGTTCAGCATCGGGCTTCGCCCACGGTTTATCGGAAGCAATGCTCTCGAATATTGAGGGCCGCATAAACGTGCAGTAACCTGCTGCGTCTCACGAAAGCGCGAGTGACAAAAGCACCCCTGTTCTCGATACGGATAAGCTGTCTGCCTCGCGGACGACTTCGCAATATATCAAACGCGCACTCAGCTAGTGGTGGTGGTCCCGTGACAGCAGAGCGTCCTTACGAAGCATTAGTGTGTTGTTTGTGCGTTTTTTACTACCCAGTGTGTGGCCATACTCGAACCAATGACGGCATAAATAAGCTAACTTGCGTGGTATGGGAATAATTTGTCTCATTGCACTGAGTAGCTCAGGCAGAGCAGTTGGGTGTGTGGCAAGATCAGGTGCCCCAAGGAAATCTTACTTCTAAATGACATATTTCTCGACGACGAGATGCAGTTCAACGAAGTGATCTGATCATTTGGTACAATAGGATCGCAAGGTATAGATATTTGTTTTCTGTGGCAATTCCTAAGTTTTCTGTGTCTGCAACCAGTTAAATATGCAAGAATGGCGGAGAAATTGTGAGTAGAATGAAAGTGGTTATTGCATAAAATTCAACTGAGGTAATACGGCCATCCATGGAACCGTCTCATGGGACCTGCTTCTATGTGAATTCATCCGCACTTCCACTCCCAGTCACCGTGTTTGTTTAACTTTGGGCCTTTGTTACGTATACAGAGAAATAGTCTCTTTTTTCTTGTTTTAAGCCATTCACCCTTTTCACCCTCCGACTCTTTCGAGTTTAGGATTCTTGTTATTCAGCCCGTTTCAACATCTGACTCTTTCGGTTCCAGCACTGTTGTTCCCCGGCAGTAGGTCTGTAGCCATTCGCTTCACGTGAGTGATTGATTACTTTAGAGGCTTTACTCCGTCACCTCGAGAGATCGGTGCGGTCGTGGCCAACAATGGGAAAAGAGTAATATATATGAAACAAAATTGCTATAAATGACTGGCATATGTCCGACTGTTTATGCTTCAGTTTGCACATAGATTGCGAAAAAATAAAAAGAGTTCCGTACTAAATTTTTAATTCGACCCAGCACATCCAAGTGATCAAGTAGTAGAGTAGTTGATGTCGAAAATTAAATTCGTAGAGCACTGAGAACTGTTACGGCCAATCAAGTTATTTCCCCCGGGAAAGAAGAGATAACAGTTAGCGGTGTAGCACAAATGCAAAGAATGAATGGAACTATCAGGTTTACATGGTGGAACGAAATACAACGTGATCTTAGAATAAATAGAAGCTGTAGGCTAGCCTGGAAAAGCACCAGACACCAGTGTTTCGACATTCTGGGTCTCGTCAGTAGTGTGCCTTCTAGCGGACCCCTGCCGGGTTCCGCTCACAGGACTTCCGGATACCAACAGCTAGTGCGACTTCGCGACAGGTGACAGCCGCGGACCTGCATGCTTGGCAGCCCACTACTCATTAATAATCTAAAATCTGTCCGTATAGCTTCTAAGTCCTTGTGTTGAATCAGGGCGCTATGCAGAATTCCTAGCTCGTGGGGCTAGCCGCTGTCATCTGCACAGTTCCTAACTGGCATGCCAGTAGTAGATGTGCCGGGCTATATCACAGCTGTCAATCACGCAGGTCCGCGGCTGTCATCCATGGCGAAGTAGCACTAGCTGCTGGCGTCCGGAAGTCATGTGGGTGAAACCCGGCAGGGGTTCGCTGGAAGGCGCACCACTGAGGAGATCTAGAATGTTGAAATACCAGTGTCTGGGGCTTTTCCATACTCGCCTAAGCCTGTTGACTGAGGGTGGACCATGATGGAATATCTCTAATCATACCAAGCCCCAACTACTCATTAATAATTATATATACATATTGTTATAAATGCTTATTCTTTCCCTCTGCTCTCTGCCACTGACAACTGTTGTACTGCTGCTAGCTGTCCCTTGAGACTGCGACTGTCTGACTGCTCAGTCACGCGCCCAGCCAACGGACGGAATACAAAAGGCCAGAACTAGGTAGACAGAGAGACGTATTGTATGAGAGCATGGCGCAATAAATAGGTTGTGGGCAACTACTAACACAACAATATTGGAGATGCTGATTGATGTTAATTAGTACAACTCAAATGGCTCAAGTTCATGATCCAGCTTGCCACTGATTCCACATCGATTCCCGTTTTGATCTGTACTCGAGTTCGACCTCTAATTTTAGATCGATCCACTTTTACGCCTTTGCTCTCGGTTTGATCGCTGGCTATAAGCTTTCTCTCCGTAACATATATATATATATATATATATATATATATATATATATATATATATATATGGCAGGAGAGCCTATGGTGCGCTGACGCTGGTGATGGCTGAATCCTGACATATGGTCTACCCACTGTTGCTACTGTTGTGCCATAGCCTCATGTCCTGGACGCCTCCTCGTAGCGACCGCTGGGTTGGAGCTGGGTTACTCCCTTCATCCTGCTAAGATCCAGGACACCAATCGGCATGAGTCAGTGAACTGACCATATGCTAGACTCGCTGCCTTTCGGGTGTTCATTTAATCGAAGTCTTTGGCTGAGGACCCGAGTCGTTCTCCTATCAGGTGTGGGCGCCCTGCCAGTATCCTAGTCCATCCTCTTCGGACGGTAGGATGTGGTCGATGGCCCTCTTCCCGTAAAACCTAGCCATGGGAGATAACAGGTCTACGGGTTATAAGCTCACAGCTCGATTGGTGTAAGACACGAGCGCCACACATTGTATCTGACGGTGGGAGGACACCTCTGGGTGTTCAATGGTTTGCGACTGCCCGCCTCAAGCCAGACAGCCCCTGGTCAAATTGGTGCAAACCAGCCAAAACCCACCTGCTTCTGGCCGTAGTCGCAGGTGTATCCTACTGCGGTCGCAAAACATATTTGAATCCAATAAACTGATTCAATCTGCGGAATCACAACGCACCCTCTGAGAGGCCCGATTTCCGCACACTAACTGGAATTGTTTGATCGTCGTAGAGCTATCCCGACTAAAATAGCAGGGCAATGCGTCGCATTCTCAGTCAACAACTTAAGCAAATCCTGCGTGCAGATCGCGAAACTTGGTGGTCCCAGCGCGCCTCAGAGATGGAAACGGTAGCCCACTCTGGAACCTTCTGCAGGCTCTTCCAGGTCATCCGGGCCACTGGTTACAAAAGACTTGGCATCAGTACGGTCATTAGCGAGGTTGACGGGACATCGATCGCCAACTTACACAGCTGGACTGCACACTTGTCATTTAATTCAGCTGATCTATCCTGCCTCATTGGAACCACCCTCTGAAACTGAGGTCTGCCTTGAGGTCAGAAACTTAAAGCGATTGAAATCTACTGGCCCAGACGGAGTTCCTCCAAAGCTGTTCAACTTCGGTGGCGAAGCAATTATCAACCAACTAACAACTCTGTTATCTAAGATCTCGTGTGAAGAAATTTCCATCCGCTTAGGGCGAGTCAATTTCGTCCCGATCTTCAAGAAATGTGTCCGTATCCTATGCGTTATCTACTGAGGAACCAGTCCATTGCCTCCAAGTTGTTAACATCCATTCTACCCGACAGACTGACCGCGATTTGAGAATTGCGCTCCAATGAAAAACAGGCTGGTTTCCGCTCAAACCAAAGGTGTATATACAACTTGTTTACGCTCCACCAACTCATTTGAACGCGTCACCTTTACCGCCAGCGCACTATGATTGTTTTTCTGGACATCCGATCCGCTTTCAACTTTGTGGATCGGCCAGCCTTATAGCGTTGCCTGCAAAGGAATGAGTACCCTATAAGTATATCGCCATCCTTCGAGCATTATATTGCAATGTCTGAGGTAAAGTGAAGGCTTACGGAAAGCTCTTCACCTTTTACCGTCACCAGCGGTGTACGACGGGGTTGCCCCATATCCTCGTTTCTCTTCAATTTTGCGATTGAGGGTGTTTTTTAAACGCTCTTGAGGGCCTTCAGATTTCTGGTGTAGAGCTACTTCAAGGTAATCGCTTGACTGATTTAGATTATGCTGATGAATTGGGCACGCAGGCCGTTCCAAACCGCTTGGCGATTGAA